AACCTCATTCTGGACATCTGTCAACTTCCTGAATAGATGATAGTGTTGATTCATAGTGCATTTGGAGTTCGTTCTACTAGGTCAGACTGTTAATCAAGCTTTCTATTTAGAGGTTCTGAAAAGATTGCATAACATGTGACAAAAAAGGCCTGATTTGTGGCAGACGGGACTGGTCTTGCTACCACAACAATGGCACCTGCTCATGCAGCCATCTCAGTGTGGCATTTTTGGGCAGAAAACAGCATGACTCTTGCCCCACACACCTTACTCACCTGACCTCGCTCTGTGTGACTTCTTTTTGTTTTGGCAAATAAAGAGAGACATGAAAGGGCAGCAATTTGACTGATACAGAAGACGTAAAGAAAAAAGCAAGGGAGGTGCTGGCAGCCATCCAAACAGATGAGTTTGAAAAATGTTTCCAATGATGGAATCACAGAGTTGACAAATGTATTAAGTGTAGTGGAGGATAATTTGAAGAGGATAAGGTTGTTTTGTAAAAAAAAAATTAAATACATAGCTTTGAAAAGAAAAATTCCATTATTTGGGGCTACTCCCATGTTTATTTTTGCATTCTAAAATAGGTGTACACCTGCCATCACTTGCAGCTTTCAGGAAATCTGTCAGCTGTTAATGACCTACCTCAGTGTACTTGGTAACATAGTGAATGCTATTGCTAATGATGCTGTCTGTCTGGGACTTGTATGAGCTTTAGTTGCTTATGAATCTATTTCTTGGTGATTGCTTTAGTCACTCGACTAGTCATGGATTAGTCTTGCCATTGAGATCTGAGAGAGCTATTCCCTTAAAGCTGTACTCATTCAATTTCATTTTGACCTTGGCAGGACCCATGAAGAAGAGCTACTACCATATGATGATGATCTGAAAGTGGGAACTTAAAAAGTAGGTAAACAGCATGCCATTTGACTCTATGGACTAGAATTTGATATGGCAGAATTCTTTTGAGCTAAATTAAGTCATAGGTTGGGACCACAAACCCTGTCAGGTGCTTACAACAGTAAAAACTCTTCTCATACTCTATGGAGATTCTTTTAGCCTTACGCATGTTTCTCTGCTCTGAACTGGAATCCAAAGTAAATATCAGCCTGAGTAATGGCAACATACCTAGAAATTTCCAATCCTGGGAAGTGTCTGCTTAGATTGACCTTTTTTTAGATATCCTCAGGTTTTATTCCTGGCAAAAACCTGGTGGCATGAAACTGTAACAGGAAGCAGTAAGTTTATGAGAAAACTTTAAGGTATAAATGTAGCCAGTACTTAAATCTTCATTTCATCATATGTACTATTTATTCAGGTTATACTGGCCTTATAAAATGAGTTGGGAAGTGTTTTCTGAAAGAATCTGTATGAGATTTTTACTGTTATTGCTTCCTAAATGTTTGATATTCACTAATGAAGTCATTGGGCCTGAGTTTTTTTTTATAAGGAGGTTTTTAAAATGTTTATTTGCTTTGCTTCTACTTATAGATTTAATTTATTTAATAAATTGGGGATATTTACATTTCTTGTGTTGATTTGGAAAGTTGAGTTTTGAATGAAATTGTTCTATTCATTAAAGTTGAATTTATGGAACAAAATTGTCCGATTAGCTTCTCAATCTCTGTAGGGTCTGTGGTAATGTTCTGATTTTTATTGCTATTGGAAACTTGTGTTTTCTGTAATTTAAGTGTTTAAGATCAGCCTTGATAAGGGGTTTATAATTTTTTTACTAATCTTTTCAAATAACCCTTGTTTGGCATTATTTTTCCCTGTTTAGTTAATTTTCTATTTTATTGATTTTTGCTTCTATTTTTATTATTTTACTACTTCTGTTTACTTTGGGTTTAATTTACCCTTCTTCTTTTTTATTTTATTTTATTTTTTAGCTTATTAAGATAGAAGTTGAGATCATTGTTTGTAATCTCCCTTTTTCAATACAGACATTTAAAAAAAAATCATTTTTGGGGTCTCGTACAGCTCTTATCACAATCCATCCATCCATCCATTGTGTCAAGTACATTTATACACTTGTTGCCATCATCATTCTCAAAACATTTGCTTTCTACTTGAGCCGTTGGTATCAACTCCTAATTTTTTCCTCTCCCTCCCTGCTCCCCTCTCCCTCATGAACCCTTGATAATTTATAAATTATTATTATTTTGTCATGTCTTACACTGTCCGATGTCTC